CTGAACCTCTTCTGACTCCAAGGAAACGAATCTACAATCAGCAGTGGGCCATAAATCAGATGTCATGTGAATCCAAGAAGACAGGCCAGTTTCAGTTATTTCCAAATAAATGCTTTCTTAATTGCCCCATACTGAGCTAGATCTTCCCAGAGGATTTAAAATCAGAACACATTAAACTCTGTTAAAGTTAAATGTTTCTTCAGAATATAAAAATTTACACAACTCTTATTTTGTGCATTTGTTCTCCCAAAACAAGACCAAAATTTAGCAGAATAATTTGTCAATCACTGTATGCCTGGAGTGCCAAGAAACTAAGAGAACAATTATAATAAAGCACGTATATATTGTGACATATAATTTCTATTTTAATACCTAATTAAAGATCACACATAGTTCCAGATACAAATACTATGATTAAGTTATTTGGTAGCAAGTCCTTCTGTGCACATAGTAGAACTGCTTCTTGAAATCTGGACTATTTTCCAGTACAACACTGGTGCCAAGATTATTGAGAGAGGTCTTACACATTTTAAAGTACAACGTAAGATTCAATGCATTAAAAATAAGTTTTCTTCAGGAAACATTATAATCACGGTGTTATACACCCTTCTCTGTGCTTTTACCCTTGCTATAAAAATGCAGTTTTGAACTTTAACCATTTTGGAAAGGTTTTAAAAATCCTACACTTTACGGTAGTAGTTTAAAAATTATGCCTAAACATAAAAGTCCCAAAATGCACAGAGAAAGCTTTTCAGTAAACAAAAGCAGTTTTCAGAATGTTCTTCATATCAGTTCTGCATTCCACGTTCTCTTCAGGATAAGCAAGCAGCCTAACATCTACCTGCCATCTTAATTAAGAAATTTTCAGAACCTCTGTGAAATACCTGTAAGATCCCATGCACTACAAGTCTATGTGCTCTTTAAACTATATGAAAGGCATGCTGTTGAGGAAAACTGGATTGTCTGTCATAGGAAAGATCTGAAAATAACTAATGATGGTTATTTCTGAGTAATGGTATTATGGATAATTTTTTTTATTAACCTATACTTCTAAATTTTTCAATAATCAACATGATGGATTTGGTAATTACAACACACAACTCTTTAATGTATAAATAATAACTTCACACTCATAATTTTCTTTCTAGGAATTTACCAACAATTTCTCTCCTTTAAAAAAATTAAAATACATAGTTATATATACAGAAATGCTCCCTGCCAATTACTTACTGTAAGTGACAACTGAAAACTATGTAATAATTCAGTAATAAGGGAATCATTAAGATGGGCCCCATTCACCCCATCTACAAGGTGAAACATTACAACTACTTAAAATGTTATTTAAAGTCACACAGAAAAGCAAAATGCTGAGGTATTAAGGTTAAGTGGGAAAAAAGTCTGTAACTTACATACTGTACCATGTGCTGTTTATGGAAAAATGATTTTTAAAAGACTAGAGAGACATGTGATATAATGTTAAGAGTAATTTAATCCCTCTAGCCATGATAGCACATGTGAATAATCCTAGCACTCTGGAAGGATGAGGCAGGAGGATTACAAATTTAAGCACATACTGGGCAATTCAACAAGACCTTGTCTCAAAAAATTAAAAAATAAAAATAAAAAAAGTTGAGGATGTAGCTCAGTCTGAAGACCCTGGGTTCAAGTCCCAGTATTGGGGTTGGGGGGCCATTCTCACTGATGGAAAAATTATATACACACTTTCTTAGTGTACTATACTATTCCATAGTAAAATATTTTTAAGTAGAAAAAAATATAAGAGGATGAGTGGCTTTTCCGGAATTTTACTTGAGACAAAAAAACTGTACAGCTAGAAGGAAAAAGTTATTTCCTATTACACTATTAATAAAATAAAACACCATTCAAGGACACTCACAGAATCCAAACTAGCAACCACTATTGCCTAAAATAATTTAATAGCCTAAATGCTATTATCCTCTCCCATTATGCTAATTTTATAAAATTAGCTTCTCTAATTCATAAACCACAAACCAGCACTACAAAGCTTTTATGAAGTATTATACTAGGAGTCTGGATTCTAACACCACCTGCCTTTCCTTTTGTGTGTAAAATTTACAACAGAGATCTAACATATGAATACTGATTCAGATGAAGCAATTACATTTCTTAATGTTGAGCTTTTTGATAGGTAAGATAAAAATGAAGATTTTTTTTTTTTTTTTTTTTTTGGTAAAAGGGAAGCAGACTCAGAACTCCCAAGCTCTGCAGAAAATACATTATTTTGGAGTGATACCAAACAAGTGACAAAGAGCCAATTAAAAGTAAAAGGATTTAATTGTTCACTTAAACCAAGTGCCCTAAAATTTGCCTCAGGATCAAATTTGGGAAAAAATACCTCTAAGTTTTTTTGTTTTTTTTTTTTTTGTTTTTTTCCTGGTACCAGGAATACCTCTAAGTTTTAAAGCACATAAACTTTCATTAATGTTAAAGCATAGCACATGAAGAAACTTCAGTAAGCAATAAATATTGTAACTATATTAATTTTTCTCATTGTAATTACTGCAGTATGAGAACCTAAAATAATGTAAGATAACCAAGCTTTCATTGGACTTCTTATTTAGTTTTTAAGGTAGTTGTATCTGTCAAGCTCACAAATATTTATCCAGTGAATAAAATAGAAGTCGTTGCTTTAAAAAAATTAGCAACAAATGGTAGACTGTAAGAAACAATTTTATCTATACTTACTAAACAATGCTTAATGCAAATTACCTATGAAAGGTCACAGAGCAACTTTACAAAGTCTAAGGAGATCTAGAAAAACTGTTCTGTTCAGCAGTTACCAGGTCATTTCCCTCACGCCTCCCTAATGTCCCCAATCAAACCGAATCACCATAAACGATCAGGCTCACCCATCTTATATTTACACTATTTCTTTTTTAAATGTTAATTAATGATTATTTGGAAAAGCTAATGGGAGCTAGGATCTGTGGACTAAAAATGTAGCTTTTAACATAAATCACTTTACACATGTATACTACTCACATAATTTAGGATTTGATTGCTCTTTCAGGATCTGACTTGTGCCTCCAATTAAAGAACATTTGATCTCAGTTTATTTGATAGCCGAAGGATGGTATTACTCCACAGTGCCCCCTAGCTCCCTAAGAGGTATCAGTTTGAAAAGGGACACCATTTGAATTGTCAACGTCCTCAAGAGACAGTGTCAGTTACCATCAGTTTCACTTACTCAGCTCTTACTCGGACACTATATTACGTAAATTTGACCTGAAATACAACAGCTACTAATTAAATCTTGCTAGTAATACCGATAAGAAATGTAAGTAGTAACAATGGAAAACTACAAATCAATCAAATTCATTGGTATTCAACGACTGGCATTCGAATAGCAGAGCTCAAAAGTTCTGCACAGTCTCTCTAATTTGTTTGCTTCTTAGACAGCCTTAAACAAAGAGTCATAAAAACACACATGTGAAGCGCTTTCTTTTTATATATCTCAAGGAGAAATGGCACGGCATTTGGCTATGACTCTTTAAAAGAACGGAACCACTCTCTTCGTTTAAAAAAATGCTGGGATCAAATTAAGTCAAGATTCAGTTATGTCACTAGTCGTATTACCTTGCAAACTTATTTAAATTGCTAACACTGGTAAATCTGTGAGAGGAAAGTTTGTGACCTTGTCGTGACATCTCAAGTAAGTCGGACTGGGGCTGCTTCAAGACCAGCTGGGGGGAGGAAAAAGCATGAAATAACGACAGGACGTTCCCCTCCTTTTGGAAATGGACCTTAAGCACAGCTTCTGAGTACAAACGTGAACTGCTACGAACATCAAACGCCCTTCCCCTTACATAAATCATTCTGCGAAAAAAGAAAAAGTCCTACTTTATTCTCCGCTGAAAGTCTAGTACATTCGCACTAAACGGGAAAACGGAACAAAGTCAAAACTGGGGGGAAAGGCTAGAAAAGGGTGCAGTTACAGCGGCAATTACAACCAGGTAGAGAAAAGTACGCCCAAACCACTATTTTTATTCTAAAGAATGGTTTTGTTTCGGTTATTTTTTTCAAGGTATTTAATTTGCACTTCCTGAAAAGAGACCCCGAGGAGGACAGCAGCGCGAGGAGACGGAGGGGAGGTGGGCGGGTTAGGTAAGAACAGGCTCCAGAGAAAATATGTGCGGTGCAGGAGAACGTGCGGCGGGTGGGGGAGGCCGGGTGCACCGTCAAGAAGCACTTGAGGGCTGCAGGAGTACAGGCAACTGACGTGGCTTAAGGAATGCGTACTCAGAGCCAGAAAGCACACCTGGTAAAGGAACAACCCCACAGACAGGAGAGCCCGAGGCACTATCTGTGCAAACGCAGAGATGACCGTTCTAACCAGTTCTATTGTCTGGAGTATGAGATGGAATGTCTCAGGCAGGAGATCAAGCTAGCCACGCACCCCACGAAAGCCTCCGGGGGGCAAAGGCAGGGAGAAAGGTGGACAGCGGCATTCCCGGCCACCGGGGCCCCCCCTGCACGCCGGGCGGAGGACGCCAGGGTCAGGCGGCCGCGCGATCCGGGTCCGCGCCGCCCGAGCTCAGGCGGTCTCTCCTCGCGCAGCCCGAGAGCTCCGAGACTTCCCCTCCCTCCCCACCCCCAGCCGAAAGCGGGGAAGACGCGGAACTTGGGCTCCGGAGCGGAGGCCACAGACCCGGTCACAGCCCGAGTGGGGGGCTCCGGGCGAAATTCCGTGCGGCCTGGCGGCTGGCACAGGGGAAGCCGAAGTCGCCCCGGCCGGGGTTCCGGCGGGTCGGCACCGGCGGCGGGCGCCCCGGCCCCGACCCCTGCGCGCCTCACCGACCCCCGCGAGCTCCGCTCCTCCGCGTCCCGGGCCCGCTCGCCTGGCGAGTGGCGCGGCCTCTGGGGGGTCCCGGCTCGCACCACTGCAGCCGCCCCGGTGCGCACTCGGCTCCTCTCCCGATCCCTCGCCTCGGACGCTCCCGCCGAGCCCCGGGCCGCACCTCCGTTTTGGTGATCCGGTGCCGCCCCAGCTTCACCACCGCGAAGTTGCCCTTGCCCAGCGTGCCCTCGATGTCGTAGAACCCCACCCGGACCGGCCCGCGCTGCAAGTGCCTCGGGCCATCCGCCATGACCATGCTGGGCCCCGCTGCTAGACAAGGCGACTGGAGCGCGAGCGGGCCGGCG